CTTCCCTCCCATGAATGGCTACCCAGCTCTGCCTCAGTCAGGTGCTGCCTCCCCTGCCTCTGATGGCCGCTGGGGAGCTCACAGCATGGCTGCAGAGGCCAGCTGGCCCTCATCCCAGCCATGCCCGTGCAGATGGCCCCCCACCAACAGGGTCTGCTGCGGTTAGGTGCTGGAACTGGGGCACGGCAAGATGTCTCCTTCTTGGCTGCAGATCCCTGGTTTTCTACTACCTCACCTTGTTAGGACAGGGCCTGAGCTGCGCCCATCATGGAAGTGTCTGAGGAAATGTCTGGGCCCCCCTGTCTGCTCTAGGGACCAGTATACCAGGCCTCTAGAGCCCTCCTGGCACCAACCTCTTCCAACCTGATAGCTGAAGGGGAGCTCATTAGCTACAAATTAGCATTATTATTCAACTCAACTGCCCTGTCAGGGGCTTGCACAAGGGAACCATCAGGCGCCTGGTCTGCGGGTCTGCTTATCCTTGCTTGAGATTTTAATAATCTCTGAAGGTGTTTTTAATGCAATAATGATGATGATGATGGTCTGCAGCCACAGCAGCATTCCCTCCCAAGGGCCTCAGCCACCCGACTCACGGTGCCCAGTATGATGGTGTGAGGTGGGGACAGAGTGTAAAGACTCACGTTCTAAAATAACCACAGACCAGGGTGGTAACAAACCTGCGGATACATTTGAATCTGCTCCCTGCATCTAGAATCATGCCAGCATGATTAAAGAACCCCCTGCCCAGTTTCAAATTTCTTCAGGGGCAAGGATGTATTCAGGAGTTCCAAGCTAATTCTTTTTGAGGAGCTCCTTGAGATACTAACTGATGTCCTCTTGTTCCTTTTGAAAGGGCTCCCTCTCATCAGGTCCCCTGAGACTAAACAGGAGAGGGACCAACCACATTCATTATACTTGACAGAGGCCCCTGCATCAGAGAGAACTCTTTTGGGAACAAGTGACAGAAAAAATGAATTCAAATGGGCTCAAATAACAACCACAACAAATGATGTTTTAGGCCACAGAACATATAAGCTTGAGGGGGAGCTTTAGGTCTCTTTGGATCCAGGTGGCTCTAAAAATATTGTCAGGATAATATGAAAAACATAAATATTTTTATTTATATAAGATATAACAAGTTCCAGTAAGAAAATGTTGATCTATTGTTTTGCTGGGAAAGTCATGAANTGCATAGTGGGTAGCATGGTGCCAGATGCAGCTGCAGGGCTGGCAGGGGCTCTGGAGACCTGTCAAAGATATGGGAAATTCCCCCATTTTCTATAGGGTCAGACCAACGCCAAGGCAGGTGAAATACCAGTGGCAGACAGACAGTAGGTTAGGGGCAGAGCTGGGGCTGCAGCCTAGGCCTCTTGGATCCCATCTACACCTGCCCTGCTCTCCTCTTATCTTAATGACAACAACAGCACCATTCAATAATACCAATACGCAGTGTGATCCAGTCATATCTGATTTATCCAGTGCTGTTAATATCTTCACTTGCAGATGAGGAAACTGGGGATCAGAGAGGTTGCACATTGTGTTCAAGGTCACACCCTAGTTTGTTTGATACAGTGCCCAGGATCCTAAGCCCTGGGTGCCACTGCCCCTCACCAGCCTGGTCTCTGTGGGCCCCGTGGGCATTCCGGCTGTGCCGAGCTGGACTGCTGGCTCCATGGGCACCAGCTTCTGACTCGGGGGCTCCCTGCAACCCCCGCTCTGACTCAGGGAGGCTGTTTGTACATCAGGCAGGACTGTTGGCTGTAGACAAAGGATGGGCTCGGATCCCATTATTTATTCCTGGTCATTACAGCTGTCTTTGTGGTCAGACAGTCATGGGATGCCTGTGGGGAGATTTCCTTCCCAGAAGGTGGCTCATGAAGAGGGTTTAGCCTGTGTCTAACAGAAAGTGACAAGGGCAAGAGACTCTGAGCGGGGAACAGAAGAAGGGAGGATACGGGCACCTGCTATTCTCAGGACATGGTTGGTGGGAGGAGGGAGGAGACTCCAGAAATCCAAATGGAGGTTGCCTCTTGTCCAGCCCAGGGCACTGGATAACCGGAAGCACCTTCCCAAATTGGGCTCTGCTGAGCCACAGGGTCCTGTGGAATGTCGGCACATGATCTGTGGACCAGAGAACCCCATTTTATTTCTTTTTTTTTAA